GCAGCTCACACTAGTTTTTAGCTAGTTATATCTTATATTGTATTAGGTGTGATTCATTGTATTTTTATGAATATATTACATCACATCAACTGCTTGCTATGTAGGCTCTCCCGTACTATCATTGTCCAACTGATATGGCRACCAACCTAAATAATGGCATGCCAAGAGCAGGGCCAATGTAGAAAGTTTATAAAGCATAGAGTGGTGGGRTTATGTTTTCAAATAATTTGAAATCTTGCTGTTTCACATATTATTCCAACTACTAACAAATTCAATTGCTATCTAGAGGTATTTCAGCCTAGAAAAGTTTAATAGGCCCGTTTCAAATTCCAAATTACCGCTGTGTTTCTCAATTACAGACTCATTTGCTCAGGGTTGGTCTCGAGTTTGTGTAGAATATTCACGTGTTCCAGTCAAGGTCCRTCAAGTTTCAAAATGTTTGTATTGTTGAAGTTGTGCATTCTTTACTTTTCTGTTGGTACTTTGTGAATATTTAAACACTGATACGAGGCTAACYGTGAGTAAATGAGTCTGTAATCAAGGAACACAGCGGTAATTTGGAACTCGAATTTGGTCTATTGAATGGCCAGTCGTTCTACATTTCCACTTCCTTACCTTTGCCAAGAAGTCGTTGTGCAACTTTAGCCTTTTCAAGCACAATATTCCAATCATATTCATTTGTTGAATCCATTGTCAGTAACTGCTGTTCCTGGAAATGGTACTGAGGCCACCAATCAGCTCTCTCTTCCCAACAYTCTTTAATGGTGTGTTCAAAGTCCTTATTAATGGTCTTTCCATGGTAACATAGTTTGAGTATTTGGGCAAGGGCTGTCCATCCATTGAGACTGTTACGGCAGGCGTAGTGATCAAGTTTATTGAAAAGGATGTGCARATGTCTGCTGATGTACTTGGGGTCCCCTGGAGACAATAATTATAATTAGCTGTCGTATATTATAAGTATACACCTATTTCAAGGAAAGTTGTCATTGCCAATGGCGATAGGTCATTCTAACGAGGAAATGGTTTCGTTGAATACAAAGAACATTGAATCAGTCTCGACACTAAGGTCCATRYTCTTGACGAGAATARGAAGCAGAAACACAAGTCATTCCAGCTATTCTTGGACCTTGGAATGACCTATATCCCCTATCACTTTTCAATTATTGCCTATTGCCTATCCCCAATGTCAACATTTATTGAAATAGGTACAGGGTACCCATCAAGATTGCAAAGTATCCTGTATTTACAGTGTATCTGCTTGAGTTTGAGTTTGAGAATACTGTACGTACTTGTTGAGGTTGGAGTTACCGCGCATGATAAACTATAGTTTTGCTATGCGCTGAAACTCCAACTTCAACCTGAAACTATTATTCTTGGACACAGGACAGAACTRGAAAAAGGAGTATTGAATGACACAGGCCATGAGAAATATGAATACATTTTGTCCCAACTAAATGAATACAGTGTGCAGTAATGTACCTAAGTTCAGCTGTCCATCCTCTTGTAATAGTTCTGTGTATTCTTTTACCAGCTCTGAAGTTGGGTCCACGGCAAAAAGCTTTTCCAATACACCCAGTAATTCAGCTTTTGGTGTCCCTTGTTTCTTAAGAAAGTGATAAAGATATCTGAAAATGAGAAAATAATATGGTTATCATTTATGGGATTTCCACTCA